ACTTATCCTTGGACGGCAGCAAACAACACTAATAACAACTAGAACGTCTCGACCGTCTAGTAGGCGCTACAGTGAACCGGTAGTGCAAGTCGTCCGACCACGTTCCCGCGCCGACACTCAGATCGAGGTGCTGGGGTGTTTCCTGTTCAGACACGGTGTTTTGTAGGTATGCATCTATTATTTGTGGTTAGTTTTGGAGCTTCCTATCCACGGTTAGTTTTGGAGTATCCTATCCATCCGTGAGCCGTATGCCCACTACTAGACTACCATGGTACAGTAGCTATGACATAGCCGGATCTTTGGTTTTTGCAACCACTTGCCTGTTGCCTGGTGCCAAATTGTGAGGGTTCGGCACTGGAACTTTCAAAAACCACGATTGAAGTCTTTCACATATTTTACTTAGGAGAAAATCGAAATTTTGATCCAATTACTTAGGGAGACTCGGAACCAAAATTGGGAAGTGGAACACCAAATACGGCTCTTTTGGGACGCTTTTGAGACTTGCTTCTTGCTTCGTTTGAATGGCAGCTGTGCTTTGTCTCTTGATGAGAAGCCACTTCAAACAACCTTGTGTGATCATCATTCATATCCCCGACAGCAGCCATTGCCCAGGCCATCCTTGCTGCTCTTGTAGCCGATTATCCTTGTATCTTGTTCTTGTTCATTTCTATGTACCAAACAGCAGCAACAATCCGCAGCAATCATTAAACAACCAAACAATCACACCAGATCTACCCATGGGTATCCTTCTTCCATCAAACCTAAATGCACCGCTTTTGAGCTTCCTCTCGTTATTCTTGCTACTACAACTTTGTGATGCAACTGAGATAGCAGAGACCCGACAACTGGAAGGACAACGGAACTACCGGGCGACATATCAAGCCCGTTATCAGCACTTGCTGGACCGTGACCACTGCAGCGCCGGTCCCGACGGTGCCACTATTGAAATCTTTTGTCGCGGCGGGTTATCTCCCAACAGTGTGTCCGATGCTTCCATTGCCTGCACACGCACCCAAGATGCAGCGGGTTGGAAGGGACTGTCATGTACTCATCCTCCATGCGACGGACAACAGGGCGCCTGCGACTCTTCTTTTGTGGGCAATAATGAAACTACCAATTTTGGAGAAATTGTGGTGACGTGCGTCGGTGAAACCGAAGCCGATGTCGATGTCTACATGACCTATCTGGGAGGACCACCCGGAACTTGCGCTGCCACTACCACCACAACCGATCCTCCCCAAAATACGCACGTTGCCCAATTGGGAGTCCAATGTCCTTCCGAATCTGCTGCCGCCGTTTTTCAATTCGACGATCACCATTTCGAATGCGACGCCAATTCGGTACCCTCCAAACTCGACGATCGATACACCTGTTCTGCCGCTGTTCAAAATAGGAATTGTGGAGATGATTCCGACGAGTGTACTGTCGAATACGCCAATGTCACAATCCACGCCGATCGAGAACAGTTTCACGAATGCATTACTCCCATTTGGTTATCCAAGCCGGTAGGGCCAGAACCAGGTCCTGTGATTGCCATGAGTCCACCGGGTCACTATACGGCCACCTTTCAAGCCCAATGGCAACTCTCCTTGGATACCGACTATTGCAGTGGACAATTCGCACCCAAACAAATTCATTGTCTGCACGGAACCACATTGGAAAATGTGACACCTCTTCACAGTACTGTCGACTGTCAAATGCTCAATGCCAGTTCCATGGAATGTCGCGATACGGAACCCGACAATTTCGTCAATAACTACAGCGGCGTCATTTACGAGTGTCAAGGAGACACGTTGCCTTTGACACAAGCGGTCTATGGAGCGGCCCTTTCCTATTGCAACACCACGAACGACATGGGAGAACCCGCCAAACAAGTGGCACATTCCCTTCAATTGGGCGTCCAGTGTCGAGACGATTACAATGACACGGTCCTTTCCCATGCCGATGCCTATTTCGAATGCGGTCCCGACAATGAGTACGAATTTTCGTCCGGCGGTGCTATCTACACGTGTCAATCCGTTAATTCCTTTGCACCACAACCACAACAACCCGCGGACAATACTCCACCCGTTCACAAGTCACTGCCACAAGTCGTCATGGAGACGGATGTGCGATGGACCTTGGAACGGCCCACCAATTGCTTTCAATATGTACCTGCATTGCCGGATGATATTGGTGCAAGTGGCATTGGTGTGGTACAGGTGGAACAAGCCGTGCCTGGTTTGGGAATTCCACTCGATGGAAGCGCTGGGCTGGGTCCATCGGTGGCGCCGGCGGCCATGTCGGGTGGGACTCTTGGAATTCCGATTGGTGGTGGATCCCCGACACCTGTGACTGCAGCTCCTTCGGCGACTAGTGGTGGGACGCTAGGGATTCCGATTGCAGGATCGCCGACACCTGCGACCGCAGCTCCTTCTGCGACGGGTGGTGGAACTCTTGGTATTCCGATAGGTGGAGGATCGCCGACGCCTGCGACTGCAGCTCCTTCTGCGACGGGTGGTGGGACGCTGGGGATTCCCATTGCAGGATCGCCGACACCTGCGACCGCGGCCCCTTCAGCCATGTCGGGCGGATCACTCGGAATTCCGATTGCACCACCTCCCCAACCATCAGCAGCTCCCGCAAAAGGTGGGACTCTTGGTATCCCCGTTGATACTCCTGGTGTCGGTGGAACGCCCATTATTGTTGAAGACTTGGAAACCATCATCCCTTCGACTCTGGATCCTTCCATGGAGGAGCTCTCCTTTGCACCTTTTACCAATCCACCCGGAACCATCTACAAAGCCTCATATGTTGGTAGATTCCAGCAAGTTCTCAGTGAAGGATGCGAGAATGTAGCCCCATCCATGATCTTGACATGCACTGGAGCTATTGTCAATGTGACCACATCCGATCCATCCATTGACTGTACCCCAGAAAGTTCGGCGCTGCATGATGATCGGAATGCCGTTCTCTGCGTTAACGAGTGCGATGGGGAGGCTTGCAAAAGCGTCTACTTGGCGTCCAATACCGTGGGCGAGGATCCCTTTGGTGAGATCTACTTTGAATGCCAAGGAGAAACCCTTGAAGAGGTGGATGGGAGCTTCATCGTGACAGAAAGCCAGTTTGGCGTTTGCGATGGCAAAGATCCCGAGGAGTTGGGATACAATTTGAATATCATCCAGCTGGGTGTGGACTGTCCGACAGGCGCCAGTGGACGCTCCTATGTGGTAGATGATTTGCACGCAGAGTGTGGCTTGTACAATCAAGCGCTGAATTTCAACGGTGCCTACTCTTGCATTTCTGGCCTGGCATGCGGGGCTAATCAATGCTTTGTTCCATTCGATAACCAACTGATCATTTTGGCAGACCCCCATCGATTTCAAAAATGCGTCACAACCAACAATGGATTGACCGTTCCGGAGATTGCCGCTCCTGAATTGCCCGCCAGGCCTGCTGGAACCTACACAGCTCAATTTAAAGCGGTCTGGTTCTTCGATCTACCAGTACGTTGTGAAGGCAGCGAGGACACAAAACAAATAACTTGTACCAATGGCATCATTCGGCTTCTGGAGTCTCACTCCATCATGCAGGACAATCCCTGCCGCGTCATTGGAGACGACACCATTGAATGCAGGGATCCAGGGCTTGCCGGTGATGTGGCCTATGTGAGTTCTTTCTTTCTGTTTTGAGGACGTATTGCAATATTAGGCGTGTATTCTCACGCTGTGCTGTGCTGTTTCCCAGGAATGCGAGTCTGAGTCTGAGATACCAGAGACAATGGTGGAATACGTGTCCGGTAGGTGCCATATCAATCCACGCCGACCCGAAGTTGGTTGTGGTGCTTTCAAGCATGACATGGCCTAACCCTGTTTTCAACTCTCTACATAATAGGCACCACCAGTTGCGATTCTGCTTCCACCATTGTTGTGGAACGTGCGCTTCGACTTGGCGTCGACTGTGGCGGGGGGGTCAACGAGGCCTACGTTTATGGTGACGTGTTTCTGGAATGCGGTGCTGGAAACAGCTTTGAAGTGGGGGGGGGTTCGAACTTCACCTGCTTTGGATCGGTTTCGGTCCCTGCATCTGATAGTTCTCGATACGCTATCCCCGAGGTGGAGATTGCCACGGACTTTCGTTGGGGGCAGCTGGCACACAACAATTGCTTTAGGTACCAACCATCCACTCGAAATCGGCAATTGACGACCCTCGAAAACAGAGACGTTAGCAAGAATGACCTTGAGAAACTCATCCAAAGGCATGCTTCTCGTCGTACCAAACGCGACGCCCAAATTCCTGTGAAGGATGTGCCCCAAGCACTCCGTGGGACCTTTGTCAACTCCGTCGAGGGCTAATTCGTAGAGTCAGGAACTCTTACTGTAATATTATGTGTTTTCACAAGAGCTTGGCTTCCCTTCACTTCTTTGGCTGCACGGTCTATTGGGGACTCCGAACGTCACCAGGAAAGAATACTTTTGGAAATGAAAGAAACAAATGAATGCGGAAGAAAACTTTAGTGTTGGCACCACTGTTATGTTGCCTTTCCCAACGCAACAATGAAATTACTTCTGGCAGGATTCGAAAAACAAAGTTCGAAAGAGTGAAACATCAAACAAGAGAGGCATCTGCAACAATGATCGAGCGAATGAATATGGAACGAAACAACAGGACACCATTCAAGGAGGGTTTTGCTATGATCTCTGTTGATTGCAACGGAATGATGCAAGTTGGTTCAGAGTGAAGATTGTTGGGGCTGCTTGAAAGGAGGAAAACTTATGTATACACAGGAAGCAATTGCCCTTTGAATGACGATGAATTTCCAAGTGAGTACAAGCTCTCACAGAGCTTCCACATGTTCGTCAAGGAGGATGTCGTTTTGCTTACCTGGAACTTTAGGGTTGCAAGACTCTTGCTGGAAAGAGTGGACTTGATCGTGAAGCTCGCTAAGGGATTGATGCTCTGCTGCATATTGATTGCGACTTGCGGTTTACTATTGACATAATCTTGTAACAGCATTCCTGATGAACTCAGTCTGGTTCCCTCTGATAGTTTCATTTCACAGCCTGATTCGATTTACAGAATCCGGCATTACGGCACCTGAAGTACTATGGTAGCTAGTATCTATTCTTTTCTTTCCCACTGCAGCCCTTGCTGTGGTGCTGTGTGGCTTCTGTACCGCTCACAAGAATGGCAATTGGACCGCTACGCTGTACAGTACCGTACAAAAATTATTTAGTTCTTTTCTTCAGCACTGTTTGTATCTTGCTGTGGTTTGACCACCAACTCTTTGTATCCCGATATTTCATCCATTTCCCTGGTGAAAGCAACTCCGGGCATAGTTCCCAGAACCAGTTCGAGGGTGGTGAATACCTTTCCACCCACGAGATGTCCTCCCAATACTTGTCCCTGGGCATTGGAGACGCTCATGTGAAGATGTTTGCCACCGCCTTTGGAGAAAGTACCAACTAAACTCACTATCTCAAAATGGTTGGGAAAGGTCTTCACTTGCAGAGCGGTGGATCCTGCCAAGGAAACTCCCTCATCCTGTGCTTTCCTTTTTTTGGAACTTCTAGGTTCCTGCTTATCCGTCGCTGCCATTCGCAATGTAACGGTGGAGAGACTCCCGACAGCCGTCATGACGAATGCCGACTGCGCCTTGGAGTGTTGCATGGCTTGGTGTGCCGCTTCCAGCAGAGATGGCACTAGATCGGCATTGGCCGGAATTCGTACGGCGTGAGATTGGAGTGGAGATGATACCACTGCCAACTCCATGGCATCGTTTGGTTCGATTGCCATCTCCGAAAGCACTCTTTAGCTAAAGAACCCCCTGCTAGCTAGCTTCCTGTTTCCTGTTGGCTGTGATGTGGCCTCTCAGCCGTGCCTACAGTCGATGTTACTACAGTCGATGTTACTAAATGAGCGAGGCGGTGGAATTTCTATTAATGATGTTGTTGAAAAGGAGACAGGAGACCCAATTTCGAGTTTGCTGGTTTGAATTACCTCGGCAGTCTAAAGGCTGAGAGAAGGTACCAGGTGCTAGCTACTAGCTAGTACCGGTACAGCCGTACTAGTAGTACATGTGGGTATTGCTGGGTGGAAGAAGGATTAGATCATTGCGCAGAAAAAATATATATGATATTCCTATACCACAATTTCCTCAAATATGGCAGCTCAAAGAAGCTTATCCGGTATGATGTAGGTGGTTAGCATACTTGCCTCTCACGCAGGATACCAGGGTTCGAGTCCCTGTACCGGAAGTATTCTTTTTCATGGAACTAGAACTCGCTGGAGATACTTGTGTACCTGTTGATACATTCGTAAGGGTACTGGTGTGATTACAAAGCAATGGATATCGGGAACACTCCTTTTCTCTCTTATTCGTTTTGGAACCATACTTTGCTGCACAAGGGCTGAAGCAACCGTCACGGATAGCCTGACCTCTTCTGCATACCGGTAAGGGCATTCGTACCGGAGCAGGTTGTGCCGATACCGTATGCTTACCGGTACCGCTAGCCCTGGCAACAACCGTACGGTAGGGTACCTGGTACCTACCGTGGCGTCGTTCTCTCCCCCTCTCCGGTGATTCGCAGACTGCGGCAACTTTGACACCGTACCCGCACCGGTACCAATGTGGCTTCTGTTGAAGCTACCAGGTACTCTGTTTTGCTGCATTGTGTTTTGATGTGTTGTCCTTAACAAGGTTAGGCATAATAAATAACAAGATCTCTGATCTTTGTACAAGGGCTGAAGCAGCTGTTACGGATACAGTACGGTAGCCTGGCCTCTTCTGTCATACCGGGATGGGCATTCATACCTGTAGCAAGAGTGCAGATACCGTATGCTTACCGGTACTGTACCGCTACTAGTAGCTAGCTTTGGAACCGTGGGGTACGTAGGCGTCGTTCTCTCCCCCACTCCGTGCTTCCCACACCGTACCGGTACCGTACCGTACTGGCCTTCCAAACAGCCATCGTGGCATTCTACATTAGCCAACCACAGCGATCTGATCACAAACCGATCCCCTTGTCAACTAACTTTCAACAAAGCCGTGACATGCTTCCAGTAGATTGATTCCACAGAGAATCTTCTTCACTTCCGCAGCATTCGAGCCGAACAGTGGAACAAACAAAGGCACGTGATGCTGGGTTGTCGCTGGGAATTCCAGAGAACCGCCCAGTCACATTTTACTCCCCCTGTCTTCGCTCTGTCCTTCTCCGAGTCACTTCTCTTTGTTTGACACCCATTTTCTCTTTTCATGGGTTCCGCCAACAACATTGCTCACAAAACAGAATTTTAGAAGAAAACCACCAACAACCCAAACAATAGCAAAGCTATAGCAGGCTACTGCAGCAACATCACGACCATGAGCAAACAACAGGCAAGCTCAATGATGAAGAACCGCCCAAGTCGTCTTTCTATGGAGGGATACATCTACAATGCTGACAAGGTACTTGATGTTGCCTTGCATCCACAGACGCACAAAGCAGAAACCCAGAAACTCCTGCAAGAGTGCGTGGGTGTTGCCATTTTGTCTTGCGTTCATGCGGGTGCTCTCATAACAGCCCATTATGGTACAGGGGTGCTCATGGCAAAGAAGAAGACAACATCTGACAAGATTGAATGGAGCGCTCCGTCGGCAGTCATGACTGTGGGGTACTCCATGGGTGCCTTGGCTGGGGGCAAGGTTGATTCTGTACTCATCTTTATCATGAACGATGAAACCCTTCGTGACTTTATGACCAAACCACAAACCCGAATGGGTTTGGACGTAGCCTTGGCAGCCGGTCGTCGTGGTGGCACTGCCAACGTTGGTTTGGAAGCAGAAAGCAAAGGCACTGTCAGTGTCGCCTTGACCAATGGAGCCTTTGTTGGTGCATCCATTCAAATTGGCACTTTGGAGCCTCAGCATGTGCAGAATGAGCGTTTCTATAGCATTTCAAAGCTGACTGCCAAGACTATCCTGATGAGCAGCAACATTGCTGAAGTGCCACCCGAAAGCCAAGTTCCTGACCTGCATCGGAAATTGAATTTACTGGCGGATGGATTGACATGGGTCCCATCACCAGAGGATGTGGACCGTTCTTCTCATTTTCTCAAACAAGCTGAAGATGCCAGTCGCCACTTTGTTCAAGTTGATTTGCAGTGACCAGCATTTTCCATGTTCTTGCTTGTTAGAATAGGATTGCTGAATGAGTCGCCATCGTCTCCTACGTCTCATATCTTTAAAGGAATGTGACATGTAACGCATGTCACTGGTATCGAATGTGCCGGTATATACGAAGAGTCCAGCAGTGGCTGCTGCTAGTCGCAAGTCAGATTTGCTATGGGGGAAGAAGAAGTGCGCTTTACAGCCAGATTAAATGATTGAACTAGACACACTGCCCTAGACTCGCTGCCCTAGAAACCTTCTTGCTATGACGGCTCTGGTCAGGGCGACATCGACAACGACTACGATTAGTTTCCATCGAGCGGATTGGCAAGATGTTCGGCCTCTTGTTGTTTTTGTTGTTTGATGATTCCATCCGAGTCGCCCGAGACAAGGACTCCACGGTCACCGCCCAACTGTACAGCATAGCGATAAAATTGATCATCTTCTTCGTCAAAAACCCAAGCTGCAGTGACTTCTCCCGCAACCCAGTTGTCTCCGTCTCGCACGAGTACGCGGCTGCCAACACCAAAACGCAGCTCTGGGGCAGGAGCTGCCCCAATATCAGTGAACCGAAGTGGTTTCCTGCCTCCGTAGCCTGTCCCCTGCTGCCAGACCAGACCGGTCTGTGCAAGGTCCCAAAGAAAGAAGGAAACAGTCGGAGCTATGAGAGCCCAAGCACCGGAAAGGAAGTGCATGTAGACCTTCGCGTCGGTATCGCCTTGGTCCCAGACCGCACGCCAAATATATTCTCCCTGGTGGGGTTCAGCAATGGTCAATGCATAGTCAAATCATAGTCTTTATCGCCCAGCCGTTCCTGATTGTTTCTTGCCTTTATTCCTTGTGGCTCAGTGATCAGGTTCTTCGCCTCTGGGATCAGGAGGTTGGGGTTGTTTGGGTGGGAACAATGAAACGCCTCTCTGATACCCTTCAACCCAAGCAACAAGCCCAAGGCAAGGGGAAGCTCTGTGCCAGTTTCTGCTTGAAAGGAGTTTAACGCAAGCATTGCTTCCTGGTCGCAGAATTCTGTCAAGTCAAGGCTTTCGTCTGGGTTCTTCGTAGGTTCGAGTAGCGCGAGGGCTGGTTCATCCAACCCCAGAGCAACCATAGCGTCTCCCACAAAAGTTTCTCGCGGGAGTTCGCTTGGCTGCCTTCATCCGTGTGTTGTTGTGGTAATATTTGAAGTACTTTGGCTCGCGCTCCTGGCCGTCACTGCCGGATTCAGCCTTTTCCAGCAGCACCTGAAAGTCCTTGGCGGCCACTCCAAGGGTACGGATCAGCTTGTAGGCCTGACATTGTGTGAGGGTTACTTGCACGTCTCCAAACAAACGTTCGGTCTCTTCATCCCAGAACGAGTCAAAGTCGTCAACGTCAATGAGTGTGTTGAATTGTTCCTTTGTCATTTCGTTGGCCTTGGCGAACTTGCGAAAGATCTCTCCAAAGGCTTCTTCATCACGAAATGAAAGCTCACTCTTCGTGACGCCGTAATCAATGGACATGAAGGGGATTCCATTGCCCAAGTCAACGTTATATGTTCCATCTTCATTGACGCGATGGATCGTGACGGAACAAACCGCCATTCCCCGCGACTGAGAGGCACTTTGTTCCTTTCTGCATTGGTTGTTGCTCTGTCATGGTGTTGCATCGAAAGTATGAGCTGTGATGCACTGCACCTCGCGTGCTGAAATGTGGAGGTGCCGCGAGACACGTTTGGCTCGCTCGTGTCGTGGAATTTCCTGAGATCCTTTCTTCGAGGTTCTCTTGAGGTCTGCGGCAGCAGCACTCAGATCCGTACCGCAGTAATAGCCGACCCTACATAGCAACCCACTCCATCTGAAGCTAAGACAAAGATGATGATGATGGCTCCCACCAAGAGACTGTCTGGTCTGCAAAAGGACGTACTGAGTTTGTACCGCTCCATTCTCCGAGAAGCTGTCAAGAAAGATCGTCAAGTATTGGCATTAACACACGGCAACCTTTGCTCATTGCTCTTTTCCCCGCAACGAACGACGACCGGCTACGCCAGGACCGAATTTCGCCATCAATGCCAACAAGTCAAGCGTTCCGAATTCAAGAAGATTGAATACTTGATTCGAAAGGGAGAAAAGCAGCTCAAAATACTCAAAATGCCTGGAACCAAGGTGGTCATGGGGGCGTCGTGAATTTTTGTTTGGTTTGGAGAAAAGAAGAGCCAGGAACCAAAATCTCAGGAAAGAGAGAGGGACATAGTGGGATCTTTGGCTTCCAATGGTTATGATCGTCATGGATTGAGTGACCAAATGACCAAACGGAGTCACAGAAGAATTTGATCCACAATTTTCCCCGATGCAGGGACCAGCCAGACCAAACCGTCAACACATCTTCCGCCGTGAAGCGAACAGAAAATCACTCAACAATCGGTAGACTACAATGTGGGAAGAACTATGACATGAAGTTCTGAGGCATTGCATAGCAATGGTTACATTTGTTGAAGAATGAATTCACGACAAGTTTTGAGAGATCCTTCAGTTGGTCTGCTATAGCCAGCTGTCGAGGCAGGGATTTTACAGTAGTCTGCAAGTTTTGTTGTATCAACACCATGCAGGTACCTGTACATGTACTATGACTGTATCCTTGAATTTATTTTGTCAACATGTATTGTAAATATTCCAAGATTCGTTGTCACATTAGCGCCATAAGGACGGAACCACTAGAGCTCCTAACCATTCTCAGTCGAGAGAATTGGCTTTCCGTTTACGACTTGGAGTGTTCCCAGCTGGTGCCTTCTCTTTCTCTAGTTGTACAGCTGGAGCACTCCACTTTCCAGGGGCTTCCCTAAGGAGACCGTACAGCACAGACAAACCAGGCCCGGATTCACTTGTGCAGGCTGCCAACTTTTCAACCACATCCCTTAGAGACTTCTCGGGGGCTCGCATCACGCCTCGTCCATAGCGATTCAGCAAGCTGAAGTAATTTATCAATGTCTCATTGCCAGAAATCTCTGTATTAATAACACTCATAAAGTGTGAATAAAACGAAATCCTTGCACGTGTGAGAGACGTGTTTGCCTTCAAGACCTCGATCATGCGATCCTGGAAGAACAATATGTCCTGTTTTGTGCATGCACAAAATACCAGATCAAATAGAAGCTGTGTGAGACTGGAGGCGCTGCCAGCTGCTTCCACCGTATCAAAATTCGGCACAAAGAAACAACCAGATGCATTCTTCGTCATTTTAACCGTGAGAGACTTCAATTTCCCAGAGGAAATAAGGTCACAAATTGTGTCCCTGGAATTTCTATCAATCTGATCTTGGTGGTATAATTGTATGGTCAAATCTTCAAGTGCTGTCGTTTCTTTGAGTTTGGCATTCAATGCAGCTCTGAAAACTTGATGACGTCTACAAGTAACCTCTCTGTGGTCTATTGGCACATTTATTTCCGTGACACTGTTGGGAATACTCTGGATGATGTCAGCAATTACATCCTCAGATATTACTTGAGTATCCCTGGTATCGTTGGACTCGCAGAGAGTAGCAAACAAGGGACTATCAGAACCAAATCTTCCATATCTTTGAGCTAGTGCAGCTTGGGGACACCAGGAAAGGAGCACGCGAAACCTGTCGTCTTGATTGTTGTGAATATTGTCTGTGTCATTAATGATATCCATCATTGCACCAGAAATATCACTTTCTGTGCAGGCATCCCTTGGCAGCAGACTCTTCAGAAACTCCATCACCTCTGGGCTGGCATTGTGCCTGCAGGCATCGAGAAAGATATCCTTGTTCATTTGAGTCGTATCATGTTCGTAGACTAGCTGAACGACTTCCAGAGGAGCTCCAGTCACAACCAGGTTGTGAAGAGGGGACAGATCATATTGGAGTTCACACAGATGCACCAGGACTGTGTGAGAGTCGTTGTCATAGTCTGCAATGTATAGCCTCGTCATGGTGGTCCACAACAACAAACGTCCAGCGTCTCTCGTCCAAGAGCTTTTGGAAGAAGGAACAGATCCGAGCGCGAGAGAACGACTCGACTCAGGACTCAAGGACTGCCTTGACGATTTGGACCTACCGGTAGGTGATGACAGCTCTGACAGTTTATTTGTCGCCAAGCATCTCCGAAATCTTCCCAGAAGAGATCAACAAGAGAGTACGTAGCGCATTGATCGATATTTGTATCAGGATGTTCGGCTTTTTGGACGGTGCGATCTTTTGGATTATCGTAGTGTCGATCCTCCTTTGTTGCGTTTGTTGGGCCGGAATTCTGACTGCAAGGCATTTTCGAAGGAATCGGGAAGCAGCTACAACGCAGCAACAACCGCTTCGTTAAAGAGCGTCTTGTTACTACAGAACCGTTTTCTGCCCGGCACGACCCATCGCCGCACAAAGAGGGATTGATCATTCTACGAAATTGATGGTGACGAGAAAGAAGGATCGACTCTTCAAAAATGCAAAAAGGAGCCCCAGAATCCAACTTCTGAGTGCATACGGTAGTATTGACTACACAGAGGGAATGATCCACATGTACCGTACCGCAGTGCGTGGATAGCTACAACCTGCGAGAGAGGCCAGCTATTGGGTAGTTCTCCTCACATTTCGCACAAGATAGCCAATCCGCACCTCTCCTAGTGGGGCTGTGATATTGACAGAGAAAAATCTGAACGGGCAGCCTGCATAGACATCCTGAGAAGTAGATGGAGTAATAGGTATTGTAGCCACAATGCCTCGTTTGGTGTGTGGCGATGCATTGCCACTACTAGTAGCTAGGCTACCGGTACGAGAAGGACCAAAGGTGTGGCTTTTTGTGCCCTGGGGCACTTTCTATTCATAGCATAGAAACACTTTTTATGAATTCATATATATTACGTTGAGCTTGAGCTGTGATGGTTCTATAGACACGGTGATTGAGTCGCCCGATCAAGCCAAGCTTGCTGCTGATGTTTCCGTCTTGTTTATCTGCGAGTTCAGTTAGTTGAAAGGGTGAGGTCAGGTGCTGCACCATCAGCAGTGAGCACATCAATATGCAAACTTGTCATATTACATACGGTATTATTTAGAAACATCAGAGCGCAACACGGAGAGAGAGAGAAATGGGGGCGCGTCTATCTCGTTCGTTCATTCGTCGAAAATCAAATTCGTCCTCTATCCGAGCGAGCCCCAAACTTTTGGTACAGCGTCCAATATCGCTTGCTACTAACTAAAAAACAAACCCGCCTTTTTGCCTTTTTCGTTTGTTTGCTTGCCTGCCAGCGATATTCTACGCGTGTGCAATTCTGTGACCTGACATCTTGCTTGTGACATCCGGTTTGACCGGTCTCCATATCTCTCGGTGGATATCTTCGTCGTCACTTACGGGACAGATGGGGCATCCAAACGTACGGTTGGCAGTGTCGGCCAAGGAAGGATGCTTGAAAATTTGGTAGTTGACTTCTCCCATCAGCCTCTGGGTTTCTTCCAACAGTTCCTCAGTGATGTCATTGGAGTTTTGTTGGTCTTGCTGGAGATCTTCCATGATGCCCAAATGCTCCAATGCTTTCTCGTGTTTGAGAACATTCAGCTCACAGTAGACAATCTTTTTGAGAGTTTCCACTCGTTCTTCAGCCGTTGCTCGGGTCGAGTCTTGCTGCTCGTCCCAGAATTCTCCGTAGATCTTGAGTGCTTTTTCGTAGTCATCACTCATCACATACGCATATCCTAGATTGTCCAAAGAGCTCTTAACAAGCTTGTTCTCGGATCCAAGCAGTTCCTTTTGGATTTCTAGAGACTGATGTAGATATTTGATGGCATGGCTCCAGTGTTCCCACTGCATTTCCACGTACGCTAAGAATTGGAGAATGACAGAAAACGTTAGCCACTGCTCACAGAGTGCTACAAGTCGAGTGCATCAATGAAGGAACAATATGCCGACTCACCTTTATTACACAGTGTGGATGCCATTGCCAGGTATCCAGTGTCGGTGACATTGAGTTTGTAAAAGAACTTGGTCCAGAGACCGTACACCTTGCAAAAGATGTTGATGGCCTCATCAAAGGCTTCTCGTGCCTTGGTGTAGTCGCCCTTTTCAAAGTGCACACAACCAATGTTGTTCCAGATTTTGGCAATGCGCAGCTTTCGTTCGTTGGCATCCCCTCGACTGACCAACTTTTCGTTTTTGCGCATGGACAGAGCTCCCTCAAAGACTTTGAGAGCATCATCGTATTCTTCCATGGAAAGCAGAATGATACCATACTCTACCAAGGAGTCTGTCACCTTGGAGTGTTTTCGACCCAATGCACGAGACCTAATCTTGATGGCTTCTTCAATAGCATCCATGGCATCATCCAGATTGCCAGATCTCAGATTGGCAATGGCGACATTGTGCAGTGCGGCTCCTACTCGCTTGTGTTTTCCGCCAAAGCGGGCGAGAATGTCGGATAGAATCGACTCAAAGATTTCCAATGACGACGAATAGAGACCGTTCTGTAGCAATATACAAAGAAGAAGGAGGCACAGTTGATGAGCTCGGTGTTTCTACTCAAACATACATGACGAACAACAACAACCAGACTAAGTCTAGACTTACCCCCATCGCCTTGCAAGCTTCCGCATGCTTGGCTTGAATCAAGATTTCAAATTCTTTGGCATCGGCGTTTCGTGTGGACATTTGCTTGACATCTGGATTGGAGTCTACATCACCAGTGGACCCCGACAAGTCTGACAAGTTGGACGCAATCTCTACGATTCCTACTTCATAGTTCTTGTCATCGTCAGTGCCGTAGTTCTTCTTGTTTTTGGAAGATCTCATGTTGGCGGCCTCTTTCTTGCTACTTGCGTGGGTGTTGCTTTTGGAAATAGTAGGTTGTTGTTGTTTTTCCGTGTACTTGTATTTCTCCTTCATCTTGCTGCCTCGATCGGCGTGTCAATAGCGGAGAGGGAACGCACCAATCACTGGAAGTAAGTAAGGACGCAACAATACCCCAACGAAACTGAATGATGATATATATGACTGTTGCCAGCGTGGCTCTCTAGCTGAATGCAATGTCAGAGTATTCTTCTCTAGTTCGAGCACTGCTGACGGAGTGGATGGCAGAGATGGCGGAGGCTGCCATGCATGTGAATAACAGCGAAGGACTATGCCTTACCATGGCTATCGTTGGCGGCACAAGCGCTCGCTCAATTTTCTGAGAAGGCTGCAGTTTGTGACGCAGACAGGACGAAATGATGGCTCGATCCGCGCGCACTCGGTATCTAGCGGGATTCTTGCTAAACAAGTGACTGTTTGTGGCCTCTTTGGACGCTGTTAAACAGGAAAAAGTTGGACCGGCCAAATACTTAGACCGACAGATGGCAGCCAACTCGTCGTTATTCGCCGGAATGGGGCCCTCACAAAAATCGCTCAATCGAACCCCACTTCATTTTCGCTCAGTTTGAAGAGGGTGCGCACAATCTGATCATTCTTGGTGGTTCATCAAATTTGGTCCATCATCCCACAGGAAGAAAGTCCATCTCACAACAAGCCAAAAGGTATTCCGAGTTGGTCTCTTGTCTGCTGTATCCCATATTCTCATAAAACGAAAACAACAATGAAGTAAGTGGGGACTCGACTCCTCGTCCACGACATCAAAGTTCCGAACTACAATGATGTAGAATGCATCTCACACGTCCGTTTTCTTTCTCTTTTGCTTGCTTGGTACCAGACTCTTTTCAAGAAACAAGAAAAACGCTGTGGAGCAAACGGCCGAGGAACCCACTCAGGTGACAAAGCCTGCAAAGGAGCCCAAGCCCACGAAGGAGCCCAAGGAGAAGAAGAAGAAAGAAAAGAAGGAGAAGAAAGGCTTCTTCCTTCCCTACGAGAGCAAGGACAAGTACGATTCCAAGCGCGGATTCTTCCGACGAAGCTCTCGAAAAATCACGAGTCCTACCGAGGAAAGGAAGAAGGGCTTCAAGCTCCCCTTTGAAAAGTCGGAGAGAATTGACGAAGTGGCAGAGCGTCCCGAGACTCCCGTCGAGACTCCCAAGCCCGAGGACAAGCCCGAAGAAACCACAGCACCCACGGCGCCTGTCGAGGAGGAAACTCCCAAAGATGAGGCTGCCGAACCTGCTTCACCCAGCAAGCAACAGACCGAACCCGCAGTAGTCCCAGAGACTGTCAACTCGGAACAAGACGACGAGGATGACGACGAAGAGGAGGAACCACAAC